TAATTCAATCGTTTTTTTTTTAATAATGGAAAGTGAGTATGATGGATTTTCTTTTAAGAAAAGAATAGTAAAAAATGTGAATTTGATATACATAAAGGTAAGGCTATACTGCAACTTTGTAATTCATAATTTATAACCCTGGGAAATCACCAATCCCATGAGGAATGTCCCATCACGCCACTGTCGATTAGAATCTTGCACGCAAGCTAAATATGGGGGTAATCATATATACGAAGCATTTAACTGTAAAATACTTAAATAGCCAATATAAAATTATTATAGGGAAGACTAAATTAAATTAGAGGTAGCTTAATGGCAGGGTGCCCTGTTTTTTAGATAGTATTTTTCGTCTAGTAGGAGATATATATATGCATGGTGCACTGTAATAATACTATTATTATTACATATTTTTACGTAGTAGAGCCATGCTGCAGCTATATTAGTAGTATAGTATAGTAATGTAGCACAAATGGGTCGACTCGACCGAGGAAGTACCACGCTCTCACAGAATACCAGCGTAAAATGGCAACTTGATACTGCTGTGTTTCGTATGGTGAGTGTAGAGAACCAGATACCCATTTTAACATAAAAGGAGCATTCCATCTTAGTCCTCACGGGTAACGACGTATCTGCATTTTAATTCTTTATTAAGGATAAATGTAGAGTCTATGGGTCACAGCAACCACTTACCATCAGGTGGACTGTGTGCTCGTTTGTCACCCTATCCTATAAAAAATGTACCTCAACTCATTGGTAGGTGTTAAGACACCTTTTCCGCTAACTAGTCCGTCTAGGCAAGTACACTCTAACGTGTTACTGCCGCTAAACAACAGTGCTTGCGCTATTGATGAGACTTGATATATATAAACACTATAATTACGGCTGTGAGGTATTCCATATTAGTCCTTAGTGGTTACAATACATCTGTAGCCTTCTCTGTTTTGATGTTGGTTGCAGGTGTCCTCATGGACTTTCTATAATAATACTTACTTATATGTACGACTTTCGATACTTTTTTTAATTATAGAATTGTAGTGACAAACGAAGCGATGACTGATGGTAAGCGCAGTTTACTTTATCTTACACAAGGTAAACTGGTATTTCGTTTGTCATTTCATTGAAAAAATAATCAGTATATTCCTGTAAATTATGTGGTCCATAGAGACTTACATTTGTCCTCGATTCGATTCGAAGTGTATACTTGCCATACCGCTGGTATTTTGAGAGTGGTCCTACACCGGCATAGCAACAGTATGGCTCCTATGTATAAAATTATAGTGTCGCAAATGTATGCGCAACAAACAATAGACAGGCTGCTAACGAGAGAGTAAAAAAATAATTTTTTCATCTGTCTTTACTAGTGACAACATAACATAACCGTAAAGTGGCTGTGTAAGAATATCCACTACCCCATATCATCCCATGGGTGTCGTAAGAGGCGACAGAGGGAAACTGAATGGGTAGCAACATCTTCCTGATAACAATTTAAAATAAAAAATAAAAAAACCGCGATAGCTAACCCGCCTGCCAAGCGTGGCAACTATAGCAAAATTCTCTCTACGAGTCGATCTATGGGTGTATGTACAATATAAGTAAATCAATAACCGCACTTCACCTGAGATACACTAGAGAAAGATTTTTGTCCCACAGAGGGATTTCGTAAGCAGTAGACTAGTAGGCAATAAGTCAAATATTCATATCTCCTTTACAGTATGTAGAAGAAAAAATATGCGTGAGCGTCGTGGAACACTCGATTGGAACGAAGTTCTTTTCGTAGTATATTATTATTGATAAACGTATTATATTACTGATTAACAAATACAAATAAATGAATTACTAGCGTCTATTAAAATGAAGTGTCATTTAAAATAAAATAATATTTCTTTCATGGCAAGATAAGAAAAAGTGCGAGGGAGATGGATATTATTCCATCTCGCTTTCTTATATCCGCCAAAGCCCTCTACACTACGTCAGAAGGGGTCGCGACGGATAAATCTTACACTTTTTGTCATCTAGCCCCCGTCCGCCAAATCCGTACCGTCCGCTAAAGAACTACGTTCCAATAAAACATTAATCTAAGCATTTTATTTTCATTATAATAGATCGTAGAAATCAAACGACACGTAAGATGCTTAAATGGTACTGGTCCTAAGCTTCTAGTAAAGCACAGGAAACGTCAGCTTTACACGGTGACATTGGACTCGCGAACTAATGTCTATATAAATGAGATACCGAAGATAGCAGCGAATAAAAAAACTAAGTGGATACATGTACAATTCCTTTAGACCTTTTTCGTTGTAAGTTATTTTTCTAAACTATTTGTAATGGCAATTTATAACCAAGCTACGTATACGTATGTACGAAAATCGAATGGATATTATGGGTAAGACTGTTCTCACCGTAATACTTTATAGCTTTTCTTTTAATAAAACGTAATCGTCTTCTCTTCTACCGACTTCAATTAGGAGGAGGTACTCAATCCGACTGTATGTTCTTATTTTTTATGTGTGTTACCTCATAATTTTTTTTAAGGCGTACCGATTTAAATCATTTTTTCTTTATTTGAAAGCTAGTACTTCTCAAGTGGTTCCACATAAATTTGATTACGGTGTGACCAATAGTTTTTGAGTTATCCTTAATTATTTATATTGCGGTCGGTTGTACAAAATTTTAAATTTTAAATGAACACACCCTGTATAGCTTGACCTATACATATGTAGGTATGTATGAATGTTATAAAATTTTGTGATTCAGTTTTCACCAATTTTCGGATAATATGAAATTTCGCAGACGTATTAAGAACCAATGAAAGCATAAAATTTCAAGACACGACCTAGTATTCTCACAAATATCATGATCAATGCGTGATGTTTATTTTTTCTTAACACCAATCTATTAAACAGTTTAAACGGTAAATTTATACAATAATCTAATATATAAACATGTTGCAGTAAAACTTTGTCAACTTAATGGTTGCACTTGCGCGAAAGTTATAAGCATAGTACAATTAACTTACAGTAGTTGGAGCACGTATCTAACCGACAAATTTATTTGAAAGACATCATTCAATTTCAATTAATGTATTGCCATTCCTAATAAAACAATATAACTCTTAAAATTTTCAAACAATATTTACACAATTATTTCTTCTGCGGCAGCAATGCGCTGGGTTAGCGAGTTAATTATATAATTGCAGAAGACTCCAAGACATTTCATATTATTCCTCAGGAAATGGAACATCAGTGGCCTTCTTTGTTAGAAATTGGTGGCGGGTGGGCTGGATCCACTTACCATCAGGTAGACTATTGGCATGAACATCACTCTATAAATATAAAATGTGCTTATTTACTAACAGATCTAATTTTGTAATCAATGTTAATTAAGTTAAAAATAAAACAAAATTTACCACGTGTATTCATACATGACTTCTTTTTTTTATTAGAAAACTCACCAGAATTTCTTAAGAATTCACAGCATGGCTCCACTGAAAACACCTTCATTTCCTTTCTAACAATCGCTGCAAGAATTGTAAAAGGATTAATCTAAAACAATTGAATGATACAACAATAAACCCTAATAAATAAAATTAAGCCGGATTTGTATCCTTGGTTTAGACTGGTGACGAACTGCTCATTGTCACGAGTTATATTTAAAGACAAATGCGCTCCTTAGATTCTGCGCGTGCTCGGAACATTTTCTTTTATCAGAATTTAAACTATGGACCATATTAATAAAACAGTACTTTAAAGGAACGATCGGTTTTTGATAACGCTAAGTAGTTAAGGTTGTAAATTGAATGCAAAACTTAAAAAAAATTTAAACCAAACCCATATAGGCGACTATAGTTTAATTGTTTTAAAAGCGATATATTCTTGAAATAATGTCTGCTTGCTTTTATTAACAGCACTGACTCATCATCGGGAATAAATCGCTATGGCAATAAAAGAAATTAAAACCTTCGCAGCATTTCCGCGTCAGAAGGGACGCGGCGGCCGCATGTGAAATTATCAGATATAATAAAATTTTAATGTTCCCTCGGCTGTAAATAATTCTCATCTATTATCGTGTTATAAACCTTAAGTGTTAATTTAATTTTGACTATATGGATATAAACTTGGGTTTACCGTAAAACATGTAAAGTTCTATAGAATAAAATTAAAATCATTTAAGTGTTATTTGGAGTTTTAAACAACCATCGATATGTCTGTTTAGATAATGTTGAAATAAAAATAAATTACAGTATAGTCGTTTAATTATATTTACGTAACAAATTGCTAGTGCTAATAAAATTAACTTTCACCCGGAGCGCCTAAGATTGAGCACCCCTCATGCAGTTTTTGTTTATTTGATAGCGACGATGCATCGCTAGCTTCCCGCTGCACACGCACGAGCCCGAACAGTTGGTTCGCGGCGCGTGCGACACGCACATTGCAACTAACGAAAGCTCAGTGCGTTCGCTTTTCGTATCGATTTGCACGATTGTATCCTCACCCTTACAATAAACGAATTTCGACTGGTAGGCGCTAGGCATCGATTTGTATTCCTGGCGAATTAAATTATGTATTTAATGAATTATGACATTATTTAAATATCATTACCGTTTTGTAATTATTATAATTTGATTGTATTCGAATTACGACGATTATAAAGTCTTCAAATATATGAAATGTGCGATTAAATGAATTGTAAATTGTGTGAAGCTAACAATAGTGCAGTATTTCTTTCAAATCCCAATTCGTAATCAATTCAGAAGCTATGATTTCTTTCCGTAGAATTTGTCACCTTCCACTTGCTAGGTGGAGTGCATAATTTCTTGTATACACGTTCTGGATTTCGGTTTCTAATACGATCCCATTTTTCACTATCGGTTTGAAATTCAAATATGTCTTTATAAGCGTCGATGTTTTTATTCCTATGGACTATTTCCTGTTGAATGTTGACGGAGGTGGTTTATTGGTGTCAGTTTTACTTGGTGACAGCTCTGTGCAGCGCATACAAATATGGGGTAAGCAGAAAATTATTTTATTCTCTTGTTTTTTTCTTTACTCTATTTTAATTTTTAAAAGAAAAAAAGAAAGTAAGTGCATGCATTATTGATGTTTTAATATGATTCATATTGTAAGTATCGTTATAATATTAACTTGATTTTGCGTAATTCGAACTGTTTAAAAAAATATTAACAAGTTTTTATTTTTCTTAAATGAAATTTACAAAATTTTTGAAACATTAGTGTTAAATATTAATTGCGTCAGTATTGTAATAAGAAAAAAACAGTCATTTAGCTTAATGAAAAGATCTGATAATTTCGTATCTTCACACGAATACTACATATACATTTGAATGAAACTAGTTTTTACGGATTTTAACGCGTTTTTTACGTTATAGAGCCATGCTGCAGCTATAAGTTGTAGCACGAATGGGTCGGCTCGACCGGGGAAGGACCACGCTCTCACAGAATACCAGCGTAAAATAGCAGCTTAATGCTGCTGTGTTTCGTATGGTGAGTGTAGAGAACTGGAGACTCTTTTTACTGGAAAAGAGGCATTCCATCTTAGTCTTCACGAGTGACAACGCATCATTTTGATTCTTTATTGAGTATAAATGTAGATGTCTATGGGCACAGCAACCACTTACCATCAGGTGGACTGTATGCTCGTTTGCCACTCGATCCTATATAAAAAAAAAATATTCCACATTCGCAACGTTTCAAGTACTGAACAGTACCAACGTACATGACCATGGGTGAAGTAAAGTACTCAAAACGCCGGAAATAAAAAATGAGGTAATAAATACGATAAAATTCGTGAAAACTATTTTCATTCAAATGAGAAGATCTAAATTGAAAAAGGGACTATTTATGTTCTAATAAAAATAAACGAGGGAAAGTCGGGAGAGTCAAATTACACCATTTATCACTAAGACGTAATCAATAATACCTATGACACTAAACCCTTGGTAACCTGACCGAGAAGCCCCATCACTGTGTCATGCAATACACAGTTTAGACTTAACTTGTTAGGAATATGTCGGACAAGCTACCGTTTAAAGCTTTCCGTGTTAGCGAATTGTAACACTAATTTTTGCAGGGTTATTTCGATAATAATTTTATCCAGTTACGTAAAGATTTTTAGTACCGTAAAGTATCGTATAAACTTTCATAACATAACATAAACACTCACACTTGTTACCCCGAGGGGTAGACAGAGACTGTGGACTTCCATTTGACACCATCCTGACACACCTCTCTCGCTTTCTCCTCATCACTACGCATACACGCTCGTCGGTTAAAGGTACTCTTGATTTGGTCCATTTTCAATATAACGCCAATTTGGTCGATAAAATTTCGCCTGGGGCGTCCCTTCCCGACTCTGCCGTTCACCTGTGCAACATTTTGCTTTGTCACTCTTTCCTCATTCATTCTTTCTACATGACCAAACCACCGAAGCATTCCTTTCTTAATCCTGGTCACAACATCATCTTGCAAATCACACTCTTCTCTTATCAACAATTTCTCACTCTGTCATTCAGATTCATCCCTAACATACTCCTTAATGAACGCATTTCTAGAGCATTTATTCTACTCTCGTGCTTCTTCTGAGCACGAGAGTAGAATAAATGCTGTGAAATGTGGAGAAGAAGAGGAAGCATTTTCATATGCATTTAGTAAAAAGCTGTTATTTTGCCATTACAAACAGACACTTCAATTTCATTTATTTGTATAGATTTGTTTAGATAAGTGTGACAAACGAGTACACAGTCCACCTGATGGTAAGTGATGCTGTGTGTGTGATTCTGTCCCCAAGTAAAAATTAAAATATAGATACGTTATGCGACACCAGTAAAAAGGGTCCCCAATTCTCTACACTCTCCATAAGAAAAACAGCAGCATAAGTTGCTATTTTATGCTGGTGTTCTGTAAGAACGTGGTCCTCTTCCGGTCACTGTAGTAGCAGTGTGGCTCTACCAAGTATAGCAACAGCTACGTTTTTTTGGCTTATCTTTTTCTATAGAATCGAGTTACAAACGAGCATACATCCCATCTAATGGTAAGTATATGCTGTAGCCTATAGACATCTCCATTTATCCTCAATTAAAAATCCATATGCAGATGCATCCTCACTCCTGAGGACTGAGATAAAATGCCCAATTTCCAGTAAGAAAGGTCTCCAGTTTTCTACACTCACCATAGGAAATAAAGCAGCATTAAGCTGCTATGAGGGCGTGGTGCTACCCCAGTCGAGCCGACCCATTCGTACTACTACTAATATTATAGCTGCAGCGTGACTCTACCACGAAACCGTGCACGTGTCTTCGAAATATTTTTATTCTTCACACATGCAGGTGTCGCAACGATGATTTCTTTCACCTCCGAGCACGTGGTAAATCAGCGATGAAAATTTCAATTAAGAATTTCGTTGTTGCCTTCGAAGATTGAATCCGGGCTGCTCGCGTACTATGAAGCACTTAGCTTTTGAACTACCACAGCTACAGTTTGTGGAGTACTTTCCTCCAATCATCAATCCCGTGCTTTCACTGTCAGTTTTAAGCCCCACACTAGGTATAACACACCTTTTTATGTTTGGATCGTTATCATCATCATCATTACAGCTCATCACAATCACATACTGCTGAGCATTGGTCTTTCATATGGAATACCATACAGCAAGCTCCTTGACCGTGTAGTGGCGGTGTAAGTATATCTACTACTTCATATCGGCCCGTGGCGTGGGTGTCGTAAGAAGCGATAGAGGTAAATTAAAACAGATGTTGGGCCTGATAATAAGTTAAAATAATTAAAAAACTGCGGTTTACAACCCACTCGCCAAGCTTGTCAACTATAGCAAAATCCCACCTATGAGGCAATCTATGGGGGAGGCCTATGTTCAGCAGTGGACTTTTATATAGGCTGTAATGGAAGGATGGATGGAAGGTCCAGAGCCACCTACATCCATCGACTTCCTGCATCTCTCATCGGGTCATTATTTCATTTAACGGAGGGGACATCACATTCTATGTTTGTATGGTTTTAAGAAATTGTTTGCTCATCTCTATATATAAAAATCAATTGCTGTCTGTTAGTCTTGCTAAAACTCAAAAACGGCTCGACTGACTTTGATCAAAATTTTTTTTCTGTATTTGAATGGGTCCCTAGATGGCTTAGATTTAAATTTGGACCCAGTAGGTGACACTGTTGTCGAGATCCAGAAATGACCTGTGCGAAACCAGGACGGATAGCTAGTTTTTAATATAAATGAATTTCGCCAAATAAACATTGATTCTTTGATTAATTGCATACAAAATATCGACAGTAAATACAATGCAATAATTTTATATATTGTGTTAATGCCACGCTGTCGTCGTATTATGGCTGCATCGCGAATAGAACGTCACGTTTGAAGAAAGACCAAGCTCTTACAGAATACTAGCGTCAAATAGCAGCATAATGCTGCTGTGTTACTGGTGTTAGTGACGAGAAACGACGACTCTTTTTACCGGTAACGAGGCATTTTATCGTAGTTATTTCTTACTTAATTAGTAAAGTTACCATTTAAATTCCTAGTCAAATTATGTTTAACTTTTGTTTTCTAGATAATATGGGGAATATTAATCACACATCCAAGTCTTCTTCAATGAGGGCTAATAATTTTCTGCTCACCAGATATCGCTAGTTTTTTTTTTTAAAACGTTACCCCCATACTAGATTTTGTCCTGTATCGTAGATGCAGTTTACAAACATAGATTGCACGAGGGCAAACATCCAGACCCGGAACAATTATTTGTAGGCCATACAAATACTTGTTCCGTGCGGGATTCGAACCCGCGGCCCCAGCGCAACAACTCATTGTTAAGCTACTGCGCCACTAAGCCGTCAAAAGTTGACACTGAGGTAAAGCTTTTTCTTACATAATGTAATTTAATTGAGTAGTTATTTAAAAAAAAGTTTATCAGTTTCTAGAGTTAGATATTAATACACAAAACAATGTGTCAGTAGTAAGCTCTTTAATTTTTTACACAATAATAACTTTTTTCTACTTTTATACATATCTGTGGTTTGGTTTATTTATTTTTAATGTTATTAATATAAAATATAGCTATAATAGTACAAAAAAAAAAACTTTTACACTATGAAATCTGTCAAATATTATACCTTAATTTTAAGTGGCGCCGCCCTGGTGGCAGAAAAGTCATTGGTCTGCAGCTTTATATAAATAGCTGATGAAAAGCTGTTACATATTTCATTCGATACAACTCAAACTCAATTATTACACTAAATCAGTAAAGACTCAGACAAATAATAGTCCAAGAGCTCATGACACATTTTTCATGAAGTGTTTGATGCATCACGAAACTTTGTTGAAAAGTATCAGTCCACTCAATAAGCAGGTATATAACTGTTTGCCTGGCGTAACTGGGTACACCTGGTACTGCGCATACAGGTAAGTCGCAAAAAAAATCGCCCAAAAAAGTATTTTCCAAAAATAATAATAAAGAATTTCCATCAGCTAAGTTGGTAAAGAATAAAGAAAAAAAAATGGCAGACACTTCTGACGGGTTTGACATAGAGGCAAACTAACCCAGTCGTATAAAGTTTTATGATGCATCAAACACTACATGAAAAATGAGTTATGAGCTCTCGGACCACAAGGAAAAAAAGACGTAGCGCTGAGAAAAATTCAAGTGATGCTGAAAATATGCTTAACTTCTTGACATGCACTCACGCACACATCTTTCTTCTGTCTATCTTAATTAGCCCGTAAAAGTTCACAACTAGACGCACGCTAATAAACCATGTTAATTTGCGACCGCAAATGATTTTGGATATACTATAGTTGGTCGGACAGGGGTCGTTAAGTTGACATTAATTCATTATTTTTTTTTTTTATATTAAGAAAGCTGTATTTCACTTTCAATTACTTACTCATTTTAATTTAAAACACCTAATATACAAAATATATAATATAACTTTTACTATTAACATTGTGAAACTAATACAAGCGTTTATCA